TCTAATCCAACATACAGTATTTACAGTAATTTGACATTTTATTAACACCCCTAATTATTTACAGCAAATGATGGTCAAATACTATTGTTCGGATGCAGTGAGATTCCTAATGTTACGATTATGGACATCAAAAACAACTATACATGGATATCGCCATCCGTCTCAAACCAAGACATTGTGCCAGAAAATTTGATTGCTTATACCGCTAACTTAATTGAAAATTATGTGCTAATTGCTTTTGGTAAGAATTCAATTGTCAATTTTTATTCAATATACGTACACGTTTCATTGCCTTTTATATTTAAATATTACTCGTAAAATAGGATTTCTGTACACGAATATTACAACCGATACAGGTTCTCCGTCAAGTAACATCTATCTTCTTGACATAAGCCAAAGAAATAACTTCTCGTGGGTGAACTCGTTTATCCCGATTGTCACTTCACCACCAGTCGGCAAAAAAGATACGTCGGTCATTATTGGTGTATCTGCTGGTGTTGGTGCGGTTATCATCATTATTATTTGTATAGCTGGTTTGATTTATCTAGATCACATATACTATGGATAATATTTTTATATTAATAACATAATCTATTACGTAATTGGGATTTAAAGCACCGCCTAATATTATAGTAACTATTTTAATACGCGATTTATTATATTCAACTTATACAGTATTTAAATAATTGAATAATATCAATTTATTTTAAATTAATTTCTATATCAAATGAACTTATTTTTTTACAATGAAATTTAAATATTATAAATTTTTATCAAATTTAAATAATAATTTATTATTATTAATCTGTTTTATTTTTAATAAAATTTATTTATTTTTATTATTTAAATAATATCATTAAATTATTTTACAAAATTATTATATTTAATACTTTATTAAACAATTTTTATTATTTAAAATAATGTAAATTCTAATAAATAAAATTAAAATTTTTTTAAATTAATCCTTTTTATTAATTCTATAATTATAATATATATATGGATATATCTTTTTATATAAAAACTTTTAACTTTTATATTAAGAAGGTTTTAATACTATCTTTAAAACAATTTAAAAAGTATTTTCAAATATTATTATAATCTCTTTTCTTTTGTTTACTTATAAATTTTTATTAAAAACTTAATCTTAGCTAACAAAAAAAAAAAATTAAATAATATCTTTATTATTAATGATAAAAAATTTTAAAGAAAAAAAATTATTATAAAATATTTAAAAATTTTTATAACAAATTTTAATTTTTTAAAATTTTATTTTTACGATTTTTTAAAACTTTTATTTTTACAATTTTTTAAAACTTTTATTTTTATAATTTTCGAAAAATTTTTATTTGATATAATTTAATTTTAGAATTTTAAATAAATTTTATTAAAAATAATTAATTAATACAAAATATATTGATTTTTAATTTTTTTTTTTTTTTTTTTTTTTTTTTTTTTTTTTTTTTTTTACACTGACTTAGCCTTGCTTTATCTATAATTATATAGTATCAATATATAGAAGCTATTTTAGGATGTACTACCTATTTAATATCAAATAAAACTCAATAAAATTCCTTTATATAGAGGTATTTATCTTGTGACTTGTTGCCACACTCAAAATAGAAAATTAACCTATTAAGACTGACCAATATTGAAAGAAATTTTAAGTATATAAAAGTTATCTATAAGATTTATAATCTATTAATTTATAAACTTATTGCTATGATCTTTATTAATGATATATCTATATATTCATATAAGGCAACTGGCTTATATCTTATTTATTAGTTATTTTTATGATGAATATATACAAATTTATTTTATACAAACTTATCACTCTATCTACTTAATTAAACTCACTAAGGAAATCTTTCTACCATGTGACTTATTATCAAGTATTGGTATATACTTGACTGATTTGCCAAGGCTCTATCTGTCACATAAAAATTTTGTTTTAAATAAATAGATTGTATTCCAGTTCATCCAGTGAT